TGGCAAGTCAATGGAAGGTTTCTGTGGGGTTTTTTTAGGACAGGGAAATCTAAGCAGGATTTTAGGCAGTGAAGAATATGAGAGGAAGACACTGAAGACAGAGGTGGGAATGTGTGGTGCAACTGATGGTGAAACCTCCCGAAGGAGATGGGGAGATAATGGACATACATAAGTAGAGGGGTGTCAAGTACCAGCCTGGCTAAGGAGAGCCACCCATTTGGCTGTTTGCCACATAAGACACTCTGTTCCCTGCCTCTGTGCCTTGGCACAGGCTGCCCTCCCCGCCTGGCATGCTCTCCTTCCTCACATGTCTCTGGGAGTCTCTGGCTCTCTTCAAGCTGAGAAGCCACCTTCTGATCTGCCATTATCAGCCCTATCTTCTTCACTAAAATGATTTTGAACTTATTTGGCTGGGTGCATAAGCCTCCAGCAGGATAGAACATAAATCTCCTTGAGGGCAGAGACTTTCATTTTTGTCTTTGTATCTCTGGCACCAAACACAGTGCTTTCCACCTAGTGGGTATGAAACTGCTTGAGTAATTGAGCTGAATCCTCTAAGACCGTATCAAGGAAGAACAGGACGGAGGAGGGCAGAGAGGTTTTGAAGTATGAACAGAAAGTGAGCAAATTAAGACCTTCAATCCTCAGTCGAGTAGAAGTCATCTGCTGAAAGGGTGCTGGTGAAGTCAAGGGCTTGAGGGGGACGTTTGGAACAGCCATTGTAAGTAGATAAGAGTCAGATATGATAAGTAAGCCATGAATTGGATAGTTCAAATTTGTAGTGGACGTAGTAGGCAAATATTCATGACTTCTTCCAGCCATTCTGAATTGGCTTGGGAACAAGAAATGTAGGTGGTGGAGGTGAACCCTATCTCTCAGATCAACTCTACAAACTTTTCCCCTAGTTGCCAAGGTTTGCTGGTCACCAAAATAATCTGGTTTTTTGTGAAAATCCTCTTTCAGCAAAGGGAAATGAAGCAATTAAATCCCCTTATGTGGTTTGCCTAAGATTGATTGTTCTGCATCTCAGTGGCAAACTGTGGACTGAACCTTTGGTGCTCTGTTCTTGGGACTAGAGGGCACTTCTCCTAAGAACAAAGCCTTGTGAAAGAAGACTGGTCCCCTTGCACTCCTTTTTCCACTTTCTTCTAACTAGATGTATTTGTTTATAAATTTTTAGCTGATCTTTAATTCCTAGACTGAACTGGCCCTGAAACTAACTTATGTGGCTGGAATGAACGGCTTCATGTGGTGAGACAATTCAGAGCTGACACAGATTCCCTTTGAACAATGTAATTTAACTCTAAAAAAAGGAAATTAGGTTTTCTTGATTTTATCTGTTTTTAATCTTCAAAACTGTATTATGAATCAATTCTTACATCTGTAGAAGTGTTGATAAATAACAATACTTGCTTTGTCTTTGAAAATTAAGAATAGTTATGACTCAGATATTCAATCTTGGCTAAATAAATGGGCAGTTAAACTTCTACAGTTTTACTACCTTCTAATTAACTATCCTTATTTAAATAAATGCATTGATATTAAATAAAACATGAAAAATATGCATATTCCATAAATATCCTCCTGAATATCATAATATAGTGAAGCACATAATATATAAGATTTTTCCAAGAAGCTGATAGCTGAAAAGCATAAACAATACACAATGGTTGTAATGGGGCCAGCACCCAAACACAGAGGCCCAGGCAGGCACAGTTCACCCCAGTGACTCAACAGGGTACCCACCCACTCTCCCTCTGGCTGTCCCCTTCCCCCACCTCCCCACCCCTGCAACTAGGGGGTTAGAGTAAAAAAAAAAGTAGGGGTGGAGGGATAAACCACAACAATATAATCAAAGGAAAAGGGAAAAAAAGCAATCAGAAAAAGACTTTTAAAATTAGGAAAAGGTAAAATCATGAAATAAAAAAGACAATCATTTGCAGAGGCTGTTGGGTCAAACTAACAAAGAAGTCAGGGTGTATAATGCTCAACTAATAATATGATGTATGCAGAATCCAAGGAGTTTTTCCAGCAACTCTCCTCCGTTTTTAAACTCTAAAAAATATCTGAAATGAGATTGAGGTCATAGTTGTAGATCTGGAAAGGCCCCTGGGGTTTAACTGATCCCATCCTCTCATTTATATTTTAGAAGCAGAGGCTTGGAGAGGTTAACTTATTTACCAGGGACATGCAGGCACTAAGTGGTAGAAGAGGGGTGTGGTCTTGGGTCAGTTGCTTCCAAATCCAGCTCTCTTTCTACTACCCACATATAGGGTCTCTTTCATGTTAGCTGTGGATGATGGCCAGGAATCTGAAGATACATTTTCATCTTTGACTGACCAGTTCTTCCCTAAGACTGAAAAATAAACTATGTGCTACAACTATCTTCTTTTTAACAAAAGTTGTATATCTCCTCAAATGCATTCCTCCTGCCAAGCTGCCCTGTACCCAAAGTTGATGTACCATTTCCACTTATGCAATAATGAAATAATCTATACAGACAAAAATAATTTAAAAAGTGACATGGTTTTATACATAAATTCAAAGAAATTTAGGCTCTTCAGCTTTTGCAAAAAAAGAATTCTGAACTGACTTTGCTACCAAACTGTCAGCAAAATATAATTTGTGCTGTCAGTGTGCTAAGCACTCATTCATTCCAGGGAGAGTTGTACACTGTCAGTCTGGTTTTGTGGCTGCTGATAGTCATATTTCCTTGCTGTTAAAAAAATAAAATGAAAAAAAAAGATAGAAGCAGTTTAATGACATTTATTATTAAAATAATAAAAGCAACTCGTCATTCTGGTTAACATTATTAAAATACTCTTGACAAGGAATTAGTAATAGTTTTGAACTAAATTAAGCATGCAATTTTACTTAAGTGAAAGCCAATCTACTTTATATTTCTCTCATTTCCAGACATATATCTTTAAATACATAGTAGTTTGTTCTGTACATATCAGGCTTATTTAGGATATTAATATATAGTATAATAATTACTCATTTATAGGGCATTTGGGACCACAAAGGGATTTTAATACATTGTTTAATTTGATCCTAGGAACAGTACTATAGGGTAGATAGGTAGTGTACTACTTTATTCTCATTTTACAGATGAGAAAATTGAGACTTAAAGAAGCTAAATGCCCAACATCACATTTTTAGTAAGAAACAATATATATATGAGCAAAGTTCTTTTAATTAAAACTTAATAGTATAAGTAAAAATTATTTCTCTTACCAAATATATTCATATGATAAATTTTCTTCTTCCTACAATACTTCTACTTTGGGGTAAGTAAATAATAACCTTTTGTCTATTCTTTGCAGAATTTGCCAACACTTTAAATGACAAGTATGAAGACACACTAAAACACATTTTGTCTATGGCATAAAAAAATGTCATTGAGGACATTGCATGACCAGAAAAAGGAGGCAGATTAATCACAAGGAAAGACTAACAGATGGACAATTTCAGTGCTTCACTGATATCCAAGGAGGATGAAAAGAATCAGCAGCCAGCTGAGTATAGTGGATAGGGGGCTAGACTTGGAGTCAAGAAGTCAAGCCAACAAGTCTTTACTAAGTATGTCCTCCATGCCAGGCACCATGCTAAGTGCTGGGGCTAGAAAGGCAAAAAACAAACCCAGCCCTGAAGGAGCTTACAGTCCAAACAAGGGAAACAACATGCAAACAACTTTGTTCAAACAAGATACAGACAGTGTAAGTGGAAGGTAATCTCAGAGGGAAGGCAGTATTTTAAGGAGGAGTGGAAATGCCTTCTTGCAAAAGTTGGGATTTTAGCTAAGATTTAATGGAACCCAGGGAAGGCCAGAGGCTCACTTCTGACTTTCCAGACTTTGCCATCTCAACCTGGAAATCCCCTCCACTCTGCCAGTCCCTTTCTCCTACTGGTGAGTTTCTCTTGGGGCCTCCGTTTTAGAGAAGAGCTTAGGCTGACTAACCTTCCCCTTAAGGCTCTGGTTCTCCCTTTCCAGATTTTGATATCTCACCCGATCCCCCTCATCTTCCCTTCCTTTACTCTCTGCTTTTCAAATCCCTTTTGCCTATAGTCTTCCTTCTTAGGACTTGGGCAGGGAATGTCTTTCTTTTTGGCTGTATTTGTATTCTCAAAATTTAGCACAGTGCTTGGCACACAATAAATATTTATTAAATCTCCATGCTGCCTTGGAGATGATGAGAGTGAGAATTCCAGGCCTAGAGAGCAGCCAGTGAAAAGGCATGGAATAGGGAGATGGAATGTTTTGTGTGATTGTGTTAAGGTTATATCTTGTTCTGGTCCACCCCAGCACCCTACTTCCCTTCCTAATCAGTTACTATGTAAATTTTATGGGTAGCCAGTAAAAGGGGCAATAGCAGGAAGTAAGATTACAAAGGGTAACCTGGATATAATGTACAAACTGTCCCTAAGATCAAAGGAGCATAATTTACAAATTATACCATATATTAACCAAAATTCACATCCTAGTAATATGTGCCCAATCAGGAGAAACCATCTAGGCAATGTTGTCAAGGTTTTGGTTCTATGATTTGTAAATTGCAGTTAAACTCCAGACCTCCCCACCTCTAGACCAGCAGAACATCAAAAAAGTGTTGATAACTTTGGGATAATGACTTTGAAGTTTTACTGATAACTTTGAGATGATCTGGATCCCCAAAGTGGCATAGATAGGAATTGGTGTTTCCTCAAAAAATCCTACAAAAATGAGACCTCAAACTCCCACCCCCTGAGCCCTCTTCCATCTCCTAAATGTCCTTGCTACCAAGTACTCCCAACTCCAATCCTGTATTACATAAATAACTTATCCCCTCTCCATCCCTTTTCTTCACACTGCCAGCCCTTCTTCACCATCCCATTAACTTCCCCTTCCCTTCCCTCCCTCCTCTTCCTCCATCCCCATGTTATTTGCCTCTATATCCCCACTTTTCATTGCTTATCTTTGTATTTCCTTTGCTGTTAGTTCTTATCCCATTTTGGTTATTAAAATATGACGGTTGCCCTGTTTTGCCACTGCCAAGTATGGTCTTTCCTGACAAGTATCCAAATAACCCTGCCCCTATTTCATAATTTCATAAGTTAATTATCAATTCAGTGAGGGAAAACAAGAAGGCCAGGGCCACTGGGTTACAGAATAAGTGGAGAAATAAGGTGTAAAAAAGACTAGAAAGACAGGAAGAGGCCAGGTTAAACAGGGCTTTGAATGCCAAACAGAAGATTTTATATTAGATCCTAGAGACAAGAGGGAGCTACTGTAGTTTATTAAATGGGTGAAGGGGGAAGAGGTGGTGACACAGTCAGACATGGGCTTTAAGAAAATCACTTTGATAGCTGGGTTAAGCATGTACTGGATCAAATATCCAGTACTGGGTGTAATAGAGAAGAGACTTGAGGCTGAGAGGTCAACCAGAAGGCTACTAAATGTAAGTGCCTGTATTAGGGTGGTAGGGGTGTCAAAGAAGAGAAGGAACCAAGGAGAGATGCTACGAAGGGAGAATCAACAGAACCTGGAAACAGACTGGATATGGGGAATGAGAGAGAAGGGTCAAGGAGGACACCTAGATTGTGACTGGGTGATTAGGAAGATGGTAGTGCCTTTGACAGGAACAAGGAAATTAGAAAGAGGAGTGAGGGGCGGATAATTAGCTCAATTTTGGACAGGCTGAGTTTAAGAACAACTTAAGAGTCTGCCTCAAACACTTACTAGCTCTATGATCCTGGGTAAGTCAATTAACCCTTCTGTGTCTCAGTTTCCTCATCTATAAGACGAGACGGTTGGATTCAATGACTTCTACACTCCTTTCAAGCCCTAAATCCATGAACTGGAGAAAGGCCAACATTCTATGGAGGAATTACAGAAAGACACAGGAACAAGAAGAGCAAACAGTGAGAAGGCATGAAAAGTTTGCAATCTATCAGTGGAGGGAGTAATATTGATAACAATAGCTAACAATTCTATAGTTCTCACTAAGTACCAGGCACTGTGTTAAAGGCTTTACAAATATTATCTCATTTGAGATTCACAACAGCCCTCGGGGGTAAGTGCTATTATTATCCCCATTTTACTGAGGAGGAGAGTAAGACAGATAGAAATGAAGTGATCTGCCCAGGGTCACATAGCTACTAAGTATTTGAGGCCAGATTTGAACTCAGGTCTTCCTGACTCCAGACCTGGAACTCTACTGCACCACCTCACTGCTTCTAACACCAGTTAGATCATGGATTCATTAAAGTATCAGTATCTGTAATACCAACCTTATTAAAAACAAAATTATACAGATGTATCTTCAGTTAATTTGGAACATTCTTTACCTCAAATCAGAGGAAGTAAACATGTAACATACCACTTAAACATTAGAAATTCATATTTTCCTCTAACCAAGTTTTTGAGAGTTATTATGTTCAATATTTAAAGATGTGAACTGTCCAAGTCCTAATGCTAATGGATACAATCCAAACAGAAAACATACTCATGTAATTCTAGAGCTCTGAAACTGAACTCACATACTTACAAATAGAATACATTTCTAGTTGTTGCCTTAAACGGATTTTGCTCATCGTGTCATAGAAGTTGGGCTCTGTCAAAGTTTCTGACATAGGAGGCACACTGAATATTCTCATGATTTTCCTTTTATTCCTAAAACACACATTGAAAAGTAATTAGAAATGTGAAAGACAACAAAGGAGGTCTTTTTATATAATATGTTATTCTCCTGTCCCCAATATTCAAAAGAAATAATTTTATATTTAAACATTATTTCAAATCATTATCATCTTTTTGTTTCACCAAGTGACTAGGTCATGTCATTTGTGAAAGGGAAGACGCAGTGCGCTACTTTGGCTCCTTCTCTAGCTCAGGTATATCTACAAAGGGTAGACTCTATAAATCCACATAAGAATTTCCATTCTTTAATTTAAGCAATATCTGTCCCTGGTCTCTCATCCTTATAACAGCTCATATCTGTATAGAACTACAAGGCTTATGAAGGCCTTTCTCCACAACTATAGGAGGTAGGTAGTATTATTATCTCCATTTTGCTGATGAGGAAACATGGGCTCAGAGAGGGAAGTGGCTTGTCCAGGATCACATTAATAAATGGCCAAGATTTCATAACTTCTTGGAGATGGCATTTGATCTGGGGTGTGAAGGATGGGTGGTATTTCAACAGTTGAAGGTGAGGAAACATAAGGCATTCTGGGAGTAGGCAACAAAGGGAACACTGTGAACAAAAGTGGATCTGGAAAAAAGTAATTTATGGGGGAGGGAGAGTACTCCAGTTAAGGAGGAGAGCAGTTAAAGGAAGTCCCCAGTATCTTTAATTCAAGTCATGAGAGATTAGGCTAGAAAGAGAAACAGAAGAAATTAAACTAAGTGATGGAATACAGACCCTTATTGGTGAATGTCTCATGTAGCCCACTATAAATGTCCAGCGAAATGCCAACCATGTTTCACTTTATTCCCAGCCACTTTACCTGCTTAAGGGCTTAACCCCATCAGCTCCAGAACTCCTGCCCTCTGGTCCTTCTGATCTGATTGGTTCCACTCCTCATTCCTCTTAACTTTGCAAACAAAATTACCCTCCCTGGCCACCACACCCCTATATAGAACATAAGTTCCCTGAGGGTAAGAAATGCCTTTGTTTTTATATTTTATTCCTAGTATTCCTAGTAAGTGCCCAATAAATATCTTAATTTATTCATTTACAATATTTAAACCATCAAAAAGATTACATTCCAATGAGAAGAAACAACTCATATGGGGATGCACTGGCCAGGGAAAAGTGTTTTAGTCTGGGAAGTCAGAGAGATAGTGAGGGGAACGACAGGGCAGTAAAGTCACATACTCTTTGCAGAAGCAACAGTAATATTGGTTTGATTATCAATCAATGGCATTATGGATTACTTTTCTACATCAAGAGGTGAAAAGTCCCATAACCCACATAATTTTAACTCTTTGAGTTATTATGACATCCAATTTTCACATCTAATGTCGTGTTTTTATAAACTTACCTTCTGGCATACATGAAAAGGCCAAAGCTAACAAGAATCACTATCAGGTACACATTGGTGGCCTCATTCCAGGCTTCATGAACAGTGTAATCAATAGAGCCATCATCTCCCATCACTCCATAACCTGCAGCCATGTTACTATAATAGAAAAAATAAATTATATTTTCTCATGGTTATGTCACTAGGACTGGCCACTTAACTAAATGCTACAATTTAATTTTTATTATCCTCAACTTTCTAAGACTTGTCCCAGGGGCGATGGTTCAGGGTTCTCTGAGCAGCAGTGTAGCTAAAGGAAGCTGGTTGGGATGGCACACTGAATATTCTCACGATTTTCCAAATCTTAATCTAACAGTGAAGATAAAGGCAGCAGGGCACTTTAAAAGAGCAGACCAATAGGGTTCTGGCTATGATGCCAACGCTGCAAAAATGATACCAGCCTTGAAAATATTTGGTAGTCCTAATACTGCCAGTGAGAATTTTCTAGGTACTGAGAGGGTTAGAGCTCTCTCCTCCATCTGCTTTGTTATACGGATAGCAAAGTTGTTTTGTTATTTATCTGATCTGCTATTTATGTCCTCTACTAAAGTTCTGTGCTGATGATCATCATGGCATGGAGGTCCCTCTGGAGTCTCAAAGGCCCCCAAGTTTTTCCAAATTGGAAAGACCTGAACTGGAGCACAGGCCCAGAGAAGATCATATGTTTACTGCCAAGGGACCAGATTGGCTTCAGAGGGAAGAATTTTTAGTCACAGGAACTTACTAAGACTTAGAGACCTTGTGACATGTTTCAGGAGGAGTACTTGCAATAATGAAATCATTGTATCCTTGAAGCTAGTTACATTACTTCCCTGCTCAAAACCCTTCAGGGGGCTCACTAGTGTCTACAGGATAGAAGTTCCTTAGTATGGCATTTGAGTTCCTCTGCAATCTGGCTCCAGGCTATCTTTCAAGTTTTATTCCATTATATGCCACTGCCTAAGTTCTACATTAGAGCCAAACTAGACTATGGGGAATTTCCTGATCTTATCCTACCCTTTTACACCTTTGTGCATTCACACTGGACATTTGCCATGCCTAGAAGGCACTTCCTCATCTCCATCTATAAATATCCTTCTCTTCTTTCAAGGTTCAGGGTAGGTGCCTTGTTCGTTCATTAAACTTCTCCTCAGTAAGCTTTAGGTGACCAGAAAAGTGACATGGGCTCGAAGGTCTCTGACACCACCTTCATCACCCCCGACAAGCTGCTTAGTCACCTGAAGCCTCATCTGTAAATGAAGGACTTGGACCAGATGACTTCTGAGGCCCTTCCAACTCTGATGCTATCATCTTTTTGATACTAAGATGGCCTCTGGGATCCCTTCCATGTCTAGATCTATTATCCTATGATCTCCCTTTTCTTATACTTCTCAACTCATTATCTAAAACCTTCTTTTGCCCTAACATTTTGCCTTTTATCATACTTGTTATCCCCCCTTAAGTTATCTGGTTAGCGTCTATTGCTTTTCATCTTTGCACCTATAACAATTAGGACAGGGTATGCATACATGGTAGGTCTTAAACAAATGCCTAAATAAACATTGCACTCAAGTTTGTCTTCTACTCAAAGGAAATATCTTCTCCATTTGGTGTTTTCCACTAAAAGTACAATCAATAGCTCTTCTCCAAAACAAATGAAAAATTAAGACAACAGTTTTATTTTTATTAAGTAGTTACTTAAATCCTTCCCTGAAGACTGTTGTTGAATAGTTTAAAATAGAAAATTTTCCATAAAATGGTCTAATATCTAATGGAAGTCCATCTAGTTATTATGAACATCAACAGAAAAAAGGTTAAAATTGAACAGGTGAAGACTGTTACTATAAATAAGTCATTCATTTTCTGATACTGAAAATATCTAGAATGTCTCAGAAGTCCTTCTTGCAACTTTCTCTATATTGCCTCTAGCAATGAAAGTACTGCATGAACTATTATTCCACTAAATGAATATTGTAACCCTTCTTCTAAGTTTTCAAAATGGTCCATTAGTGTAATTCATCAATACGGTTTTAGAGTTTAAAAGTATTTACTAAATGCTAGGTGGGTTTCCTTTCCTGAAGCTTGCACCTTGTGTGAATGATATTTCTCAAAACCTACTCTTAGCTATAGAACATTTAATAACAGTTGATGTTTATCTGGCACTCTAGGGTTTGTAAAGTTTTTCTCATACATTCTCCTTTCATCCTCATGGCCTATGAGAGAAGTACCAAAACTATTATTTCTCTTTTACAGATGACAAAACTAAGGCTCAGATAGATTAAAATACTTGCCTGTATTCACACAACCAAGTGCTAGAGGCTGGAGGCTGGAGGAACCTTGGCTTCTCTAGACTCCAAAATTCTTCAAGCCTATCACTAAATCACACTGCCTTTCATTTAAAACCTTAGCTTATGTTTTTGGGTGTCCTGAACTAGCTTAAAATCAGTGGGTACTATGTAAGGTTAAGTTTAACTTGGTTAAAATTAGGGTGCTGGGTATGTGAGCACTTACTTTAAAATCAATTTGCATTTTGATGTGTATGAAGATATGTCCTCTGGAAATTAGCCAGAAGGAAATAGAGCACCAGGCCTGTAGTCAGGAAGACAAGTTCAAATCTGGCCTCAGACACTTATTTAATTGTGTGACCCTGGGCAAATTACCTAACTTTTGTTTATCTCAGTTTCCTCATCAATAAAATGAAGATAATAATAACACCTACCTCCCAGGGTTGTTGTGAGGATCAAATGAGATCCACTGTAAAGTGTTTAGCGTAATGCCTGGCACATAGTAAGTGCTATGTAAATGCAAATTAATATTATTATTATTAAATAGAAATATGTAGATGTTAGAGATGCTATATCCACATACTATGTTATCCACATACAACTTCATTTTCAAAAGTCTGACTGTAGATTTTCTTCTGAATACAAGCAAAACAGGCTTCTTTAAAAAAATGTTTTAAGTGGGAAGGAAGCAGTAGTGTCTTAAGTTGTTTAGGATTTGGCTGATACATTGTTATGGCCCTGTTTAAATTCCGATCCGTTCAATTTAACCTGCTATATGCAAGGTCAGCTTATATTCTCATACTATTCACACCAATAGTAAATACAAGATAGTCTGAGAAGGAAGAAAGTACTAAAACTAGGGGAATGAGGACAGACTTCACTTAGGAGATGGCACCTAAACTGAGCCTTGGAGGAAGAAGATTCTGAGAGGAGAGACATGATAAGTGAGTATATTCCAGGCATGGGTGTTGACAGCCTGTGCTGAAGCACGAAGACAGGAAAAGGCATGTCCAGTTCAAGAACTGTGCCCCAGTTGGGTTAGAATAGAAATTATGAGAAACAAGGCTGGAAAAATAGGTTAGGTTGGACCTAGACCGTAAAGAACCTTGAGTCCAAGGCTGACAAATTTCTACTTTAGGAGCCACTAACATGCTTTTGAACAAAGGAGTGAAATGATCAGATCTCTGCCTTAGGAAGTTGAGTTTGACACTTCTGTGAAGGATAGATTGGAGAGGAGAGATCAGAAGCACAGAGACCAATTACAGGCAAGAGGTATTGGAAGAGTGAACCAGGGTGGAGATTTTATGACTAAAAAGATGGAGACAGATGTGGAGATGTGAAGGCAGAATCAATAAGACTTGGTAACTAATTAGATACTGGAGATGAAAGAGTCAAGCAGGAATATAGCTCAAACAATAGAAACAGAGATCCTGAAGGGATGGGCTTAAGAGGGAAGATAAGGAGTCACATTTTTAACATCAGTTTTTTTTTCTTTCTTTCTTTCTTTTTTCCAACTAGGCAATGGGGTTAAGTGACTTGCCCAGGGTCACACAGCTAATAAATATTATGTGTCTGAGGCCGGATTTGAACTCAGGTACTCCTGAATTCAAAACCGGTGCTCTATCCACTGTGCTACCTAGCTGCCCCAACATCAGGGTTTTTTTTGAGATGTACATGGATATCCACATGGAGACGTCTAGTAAGCATTTTGAGATGAGGAACTAGAACTCAGGAGAGAGCTTAGGGGTAGGCCTAGGGATCTGGGAGTCATCTACATAGAAAAGATAACTGAATTTAAAACTACTTAAGACAACCAAGCCAACGGATGTAGAGAGAAGAGCCTAGGACAAAGCCTCAGAGGACACCCATGCTGGGGGAAGTTGTTGCATGATACTCTTGAAAAGAAGTCTAAAAAGTAGTCAGACTGCAGAAGAACATTGTTACAGAAGCCAAGGGGGAAGAGGATATGCAAGAGGGCGTAGCAGGCAGTATCAAAAGCTGCAGAGAGGTCAAGAAAGATGAAAATTGAGATAAGGCCCTATTATAACAGCCTGTTGGTACATCTGCCTGCCTCAAGTGTCTCCCCACTCGACTCCATCCTCCACTCAAGTATCAAATAGAACTTCCTAAAGCACAAGCCTGACCATGTCAGCCTGTATTCAACTGACTCCAGTGGTTATTACCTTCAGGACTAAATATAAAATGCTCTATTTGGCTTTAAAAACCCTTCAAAACCTGACCCCTTTCCACTTTTCAGTCTCCTTACACCTTACTCTCCTCCACGTATATTTTAATCCAGTAACACTGGCCTCTTTGCTGTCTGTCAAACAAGGCAGGCAATCTCCCAATTTTCAGTGCCTTTTCACTGGCTGACTCCAGGACTGGATCTCCTTCCCTTCTCATCTCCACTTCATGGCTTCTTTCAAGTCCCAGCTAACATCTTACCTTTTACAAGAAGCCTTTCCCAATCCCTCTTAACACTACTACTTTCCTTATATGATTTTCTCCAATTGATCCTGTCTTGTTTGTATATTGATGTTCAAATGTCACCTCTACCCCTACTCTCACTCCCCCCTCCCCAGAAGACTGTGAGCTCCTTGAGAGCAGGTAAGACCTTTTGCCTTCCTTTCTATTCTCAGTGCTTAGTACAGTTCCTGGCACATAGTAAGTGCTAAAATGTCACCCAACTGATTTATAAAATGGATCCTGTATTGGTAGGAGATGTTCTGAATCAACTCTCTAGTACATTTATGATGAAAGATTTGCACTGATTTTTAGGCTACAGAGACTCAAATTTGAGTTTCTGGATTCAGTACTACCACTGCAGAACGTCAGGCAAGTCACAACCTCACAACCTGGTCCTGTTTCCTTATCTGTAAAATTGAGAAATTGGACTAGATGATTTCAAAGGTCTCTTCCAGTCCTAAATTCTATCAAATCATAGCGCTTTGTTAAGCACTTTTCTCACACCATCCCTGTGACACAGTAGTACAAGTATTCTGAACTCTATTTGAGAAATGAGGAGACAGGATCAGAAAAGTTATTCATTCCCAGTCAAAGAACTAGAAAGTGGCAGAGCCAGACTTAAGTCAAGTCTTCTGATTCCCAGTCCAGCATTTTTTCTACTCCATTAACCTGGCCCTCAAACACATTCTTGTATAGTCCCCCATTGTGATCAATGATATGCATTATTAATGAGATGACTAACTGCCAGGAGTATGGGTCTGTGACCATGGTACAGAATAATACTAAGTGACCTACATGGAGATGGACCCTGACCTCAACCAGCTGAGCCAGCCGTATACACAAGCAACTGCTGTGTGGTTAAAGCATGCCACCATAGCCTTCAACTCCAGTTATGGAGCAAAATGTCCAAGGGCATTTGTTCCTATGGCATTCACCTAGCCAGTTAATGTTTCAATGAGATGCCTGATAGACTAGTCATAATTAGAATGTCATTTGGGACTCTCTACAGTGCCAAATGACCTTTGTCACAAACTGTTTTTTGTGAAAGACTCAGTTATTTCAAAAAGAAGGTGAGATGCAGAGATGCTAGGCGGATCTGACAAACTCCAGGAAAAAAATCTGATCAGATAAAGATAAAATGGCATAATTCAAAGTAGTCAAAACAACTTTGGTCAGGAATTTCCAGGTCTGGACAAGTACATAAGTTGACTTGGGGCTCAAATGGCTCTGCCATCAAGTCTTGACCCTGGTACCTTGATTACAGGTCCCAGAAACATATGAAATCTCGAGCAGAGGTTTCATATTTCTTGATACACAGAATTTTAAGCTAATGATAAGGCACTGGAAAGAACTAATGTGCAGTTAACCTTGATTCTTATGTACTAAAGAAATTTTTCCACGAGCTTGTTTTTTGCTGTCTCAGGACCCCAAACATAGGCCTCAGGGACTGTAATGTCAACTCCAAATTTGTAAGACCTCTGAATTCTTGCAAAAAGTCAAGAAAAAAGGCTAGGCTGGAAGGCATATTTTAGCAGAGAAAGGTGAAAAAAATATCTAAATTAAGGTGTCTCTCAATGCAGAACCAGACAGGGAATTCCCATCAGCAGCATTACCTGGGCTAAAAAATAAATTACTGAAATCAATTTGGAATTATGTGACTTGCTGCTTTAAAAAAATTCCTCTAAAATCAAATAGCTCAGGAAATCTTTAATTAGAATATTAGAACTTTTTTTATTTTGGTTGGGCAATGGGGGTTAAGTGACTTGCCCAGGGTCACAGCTAGTGTTATGTGTCTGAGGCCAGATTTGAACTCAGGTTCTCCTGAATCCAGGGCCGGTGCTCTATCCACTGTGCCACTTAGCAGCCCCACGATATATGAACTAAAAAGGACCTTGGAGTTCATCTAGTCCAACTCTCTCATTTAGAAGATTAAGGAAAGTGAAGCTCTAACTCTCCAGTTTGCATTGGAAATGTTAGTGGTCAATCATTTTTTCCCAATATTTTCTCTAAAATTTGAATGGAATGATCACTGAAGAAGATCACTGAAGAAGGACAATGTAGTATATAGAGAGCTAGCTTTGAAGCCAGGAAACAACCGCTGACACGAATTGGGCAAGACTTGCCCAAGTGACTCTGAGTGACTTAATCTCTCGGTATTCTACGCAGCCATCTAAAAGTATAAGCGGCAAAGACGGTGCCGCTGAAGAAAGGGAATTTCCTTACCTGGGAATATCCTGTTAACACTAAAATCACTATTGCTAATCCTATCACCACCAGAGAAATATGGAAAACACTGCTTCCTGGAATTCCTGGAGAATTTTAGGAATAAAGTAAACAGGGAAAACTGCCCTCCTCACCCAACAAGTTCAGTGGGAAATGAGGAGACAAAGAGAAGAGTTAAGTGAAGCTGTTAAGAGAAGGGAAATGAAGAAAGGGAACAGTCTGGGAGGAAGGGACAAAGGAGGAGGATCAGAAGAAGGGAATGGATCACTGAGATCTACAAGCAACTTAGAGGTCATCCAACCTCTTCTTTTACAGATGAAGAATTAGGAAGCCCAAAGATGGGAAATTACTTTACTAAGGCAGGAAAGAAATGGGGGCTGGAGGGGCGGGAAGGATTACTCAGCTAGTAAATGTCCCAGGCTGAATATGAACTCAGGTCTTCTGACTCCAGGTCTATTCTATCTACTGGACCCTGTAAATCTATCCATAGTGCCAACTTATTTTAAGAGGTGAGGAATCTGGGCCCAAAGTCACACTTAAGGGGTACAGGAAGCCTGGTTTTGAACTCCGGTTCCCCCTCCCCTTCACTTTTTCCCCTATAAGAGGCTGGTGAGAAGACAGGGAAGAAAAGGAAGAGAATGGAGTGGGGGAGGGAAGAGAGGAGGAAAAAGAGAGAAGGAAACAGAAGTAGTGGGACAAAGGGACTGTAACAGAGAGCAGGAGACCGAGTGGGTTTGGGGGAGGGAGGAAAGGAAAGGGGAGAGACGGAGAAGAGGAAGGAACGGGGGAAAGAGGAGGGAGAGGAGTCAGAGAAGCTAGGGGGAAGGGGAGGGAGCAATAAAGAAGGGGGAGAAGAGGCGGGGCGAGTCGGCCTAGGGGGCGGGGCCTGCGGCCGGTGACGCGTCTTCGCATGGGGGGAGGAAGAGGAAGGAGGACGGAGAAGGGGGCAAGGGAGGGGAACGACTCCAACTCACGCTCGGGAGGCGGCCCCGGGGCCGGCGCCTAGGCCCGCTCTCAGCCTCTCTCCTCCTAGCTCCGGACCCGGCGCACAGGAATTGCTTAGACCCGGCGGCCCCGGCCGACCCCTGCCGTCGTCATTTCCTGCCGGCCTGTCTGTTTCCGGAAAGGAGGAGAAGCCTGATATAGATTGATATCACCTATATCTGCTTATAGCCCATATGTTAGTTTTTTTTCCTTGTCTTTTGTTTTTGTTTTTTCCTTTTCCTCCCAATTTTTGACCGGGACAGAAGCTGCGGCCCTGGTGCAGCCTCCGGGCGCGTGAGTGGACCCGGGTTCCCCTCCCCCTTCGGACGCGTCACTGCCCCGCCCCCCTCTCAAGACCCCCTCCCCTTTTCTCCCCCTCCCGTACCCGAGCTGAGGGGGGCCTCGTGAATGGTTTCGCAGAAAGTGCGCATGTCCTCCAGAGAACCCCCCCCCCCGCCTGTTTCCCCTTCCCCCGAGCCGCGGGCTCACGGGGAGGGTTAAGTGGAGACCCCTTTCTCGAGACCGGGCGGAGCCCTTCAGCCCGCCTTAGGGGGTGTCCCCCTCCGCGGGTAGGTGGAGCCGCGACCCCGCCCCTTGCCCCACACTCGAGGGTCCGGCCCACCCGTTTTCCACCTCACGCGCTGTTTCGCCAGAGAGCAGGAGGGGTGGGGGTTGGGGGTGCGATTTCAAGCCCCGCCCCCTCTCGGAAGGAGAGCGCGAGGCGGGGGGTGGGGCTTGCGGGCACCCCCCGCAGGAGGCGAGGCTGGGGCGGAGCCTACGAGCACTCCCCTCTTCCCTCTTTTTCCCCTCCCCCTCCTCGGGAGGCGAGGCGGGGGGCGGAGCCAGCCAGCGCCCTCCCCTTCCCTCTGCCCTCCTCCCCCTCTCCGGGAGGTGGTGGGGAGGGGGAAGCGAGCGGCGCCCAGGGTGTGGGCGGAGGATCCAAGGCCAGGCGCGGTCTCGGTCCGGCTCCGCTGCTAGACCGGACCACGTGCGCAGTGGGCTCCCCGGCGCTAGGCAGGAAAGGTTGACTGCTGGTGCGGCCCCAGCCCCTGCCCTCGAGGGTGAGCTCTGGAGCCCCTGGTGCGAGTGGAAAGGTTAGGGTTGGGAAAAGAGGTGGAAGGTTTGAGGGTGTTCGTGCGTGGGTGGGAGAAGGAGCGAGGTCCGTCGGACATTCACGATTAAGCAGTAAAAATGCTAACTTTCTTCAGTGGGGGAGGACGGGGAGGGGGACGATGACAAAAAGTCGTCGTTATCTTGTAACGTTGAGGGGGTACTACGCTTTCCAAACAAATGGCTTTCGTTTTCTTGCCCCCAGTTTCCAATCCCGTTTGTTCTTTACGAACCTTTGGGATGGAGGATAGGAAATGGTATAGGATCAGGCTGTGGTCAGCCGGCGGTAGTGATCGTTAATTGAAGTAAATGTTGTTGGGAAAGTTTCATAGTTTGATAAAGTGATTTTTTTTTTTGGTGACTTATGGCTCTCAGTATAAGGGCAGGTGATAAATTTTAATAGGTTTTCACCAGTAATATTGAAGTATTAAGATTTAAGTGGCTGGGGCAGCTTTGCCAATAACCACTGACCCGAAGTGGCTAATATGGTAGTAAAGGGCTACATTAATAGAATGATAATTATGTTGAGTTTACTGCTGGAAGTAGTAGACAAATTCATAATAGATTAGTGTCTGGAGGAGCTGATTTTTGAAACTATGCAGTAGCAAGTTTCCTCTACATATTTGGTGGGCCAGTAAGTTAAACAACCATAAGAAAGAAATTTATATTGTATGACTTTGTATAATAGCACATGGGGTACAGTTATAATGATTTCGTAATCAATTGGGGTTGGTTATAAATAACTGATATATATGGATATAGTCAGAGCAAAGGTTGGGGAATCTGGAAGTCTTTAATGATAACTCCTGACTCTAATCTTTCATACATAGGCTAAATACTTGAGAATGCAAATTTTTCAGGGTTCATTAGACAAATTAACATTTTATGTTTGAAGCCTGTTATTAGAATCTCATAAATAGGAACCGTTCAACCACATCTCACCTATCCTCACAATTCTGTGGCCTAATTGCATTAAGTTGGTCACCCCATGAGCAATGTGTAATTGTATAATGGAAAAAGTTAGGCCAGGTGGCACAATAGCCTCTGCCTAAATCTTGCTCTTATTTTCTGGGCCGCAAAACTCACTTTTTAATTAAATGTAATTACCTGGCATAAAGCATAGTTATCTTAACACAAAGCCCAGGATATGCAAAACATGAAAGTATGCTGATAGTATTTATATCCTGTCTTAGGTACCTATGGATTGTTAAGCAAATTCAATGATGTTGATATAATTATTGATACATTGTAGATGTTCTAATTTTCCTTTAAGCATCTCATTGTATTTTCAGCTTCTTTACATTAAGTCCTCATTTGTTTTAATTTTTGTGTACTATCCCTTTAAAAAATCAAGTAGGTAACTGAGGTTTAATGACTCATCTAGGTACAGTTGATTCAAATTACTATTGATTTGATACTTATGGCTTCTGAGAGTGGTATGGTTTGGAGTTTGTGTCTTATGAGGATGGAAGATGAATGATGAAGTAAGTTCCAGTAGAGAATGAGAGGGAATGGAAAGTCTGATTCTCTTGAACCACTTTCATGCATTTATTCCAGGTTTCTATCCTGAACCTTTTTTTTCTCCCTTTACATCTTCTCATTTAGTGAACTCATCAGGTCCCATGGAGTCAACTATCATTTCTGAGCAGATGACTTCCATATCTACATATCCAGCCCTCATATCTATGTTGAATTCCAGTCCCACCTACCCAATTGCCTTCTAGATGTCTCCACTTAGATGGCCCATAGACATCTAAAATAGAACTCATTATCTTTTCCCTAAACCCATTCCTCCTCCTAACTTCCTATTTGTGCTGATGGCACCACATACTTCTAGTCATCTAGCTTCATAACCTCCAACTCGTTGCTAGATTCTTCATTTTCCCTCATCAGCCATATCCAAAACAGTTGCCAAGTTTAGACATTTCTACCTCATCAACATGTTACTTCCCCTCATGAAATCTGTGTTGAGCCAAATTGTCCTACTTGCTATTCCTGGTACATAGCATTCCATCTTCTTTTTCTGTCCCTTTGCATAGTCTGTTCCTCATTCCTGGAACACCTGGCCTTTCTCACCTCCACCTCTGAACCCCATCTCCCTTCAAGGCTTAGCTGAGCTACCATCTCCTTCAAGAGACTACCTGAATCCCTCAGTTGATAGTGAGTGCCTGCTTATGCCAAATCACTTTGTGTTTTTTAAGAATGTATCCTATGTTTTCTGTGAACATGTTTTATCTCCCCTGTCCCCCCATAGAGTGATATACTTTTGCATTTGTAACTACAGGACCAATCATAGCACCTAGTACATAGCAGCTAATTAGTATTATATGCCGTGCTTTGAGGTTTTGAAAGCACTTTACATATGTTATCTTACTTGATCCTCAGAATGATCCTGTGAAATAGATGTTGTTATAACCATTTTATAGGTGTGTAAACTGAGACTGAGAGGGTAAGTGACTTTCCTGGGAGTTAACACAGCTAGTAAGTGGCTGAGGCAGGATTTGAACCCAGATCTTCCTGACTCCAATTCTAGCATTCTATCCCACTAGACCAAATACATCTCTATTGATTGATAAAAGGTCTTGTATTTGATGAAAAGTGATCTTTCTTACCTGTATTTGACTTGTATGGAAGGGGGAAAGATTGAAAGGATATGTTGCTATGGCTGTTTGTATAGCTATGTGATATTTGCAAGAAGCTGCCCTTGCCTAAATAGTCTGTTCCCTGGAAGATGGGGAGATAATGGGATGGGATGGGATGGAAGAGACAAGAGCCAGTTGTTAAAATTGAAAAAAAGAAATAAATGCACATTTATTATTTGAAAGTTAATCCTATCCTGTGAGACTGTTCCCTGCCACCACCTGCATTTCAAAGCCTTTTCTTAATTGATATCTTCTTGGAACTGTTGACTGTTGGGTGTAGATGACAAAGTGGAATCATTCCTATATGTGGGGCAAAATCCAAGAAGACCACATCCCCTGTTCTTCCCCCCTCTATTTTAGATGATAACCCTGTATTTTAATTGTATAGGCTTCTAAATCTCTTAAGCCTCACATACTGCACTGGCCCACAAATATGTAGGTATTCCTGTAAAGAAGCTTTTAAGCCAGGAAATGTTTAACTTGTTATATATTGCCTAAAAATCCAGTCTTGCTGAATTTTTGTCTCCTCAGTCTGTAACTTCTCTAACCTATTTCTGTACATTGTCACTGAGACCAAGTCACTTTGACCCTGATAATCAGTCCCATTCTCTAGGAACCATTTTACTCATTCCTGAATTACAAGTCTTTGTTCTTCTTACTCTTTACCCCACCTGGAATGAATACTCTTTACCTCACTCTCTACCTGTGTGGATTTCTGTTTCTTCTTAATCCTTCAGGGCTAAGTCAAGATTTCCCCTCTTCCACAATGTCTCCACATCATTGTCCCTTTTCTAATAGCACTCATTGTCAGTTCTACTAAACTTTTTTTCATCTTGAAGTGAAATTGTAAACTCCTAGAGGGCAGCAGGAGTATTGTGTGCAGTGCTGCTTTTGTTTGCCCTCTTCATTTCCTGGGATGGTATTAGACTGTGTTACAGGTTTATCAGTGTTCACTGAGTGACTGTCAGGTGCCACGGGGGGATAACTAAGAATTAGAAGATGTGATTGGAGCCTGAGGAGACAAACTTTCACATGAAATTACAGGGCCAGGTTAAAATATGACCATAGTAGGGACCAGAATGTGACTCTCCTGGCAGAGTGTAGAAAGATCAAAGAATTAGAACCAGTCTGTTCTATAGAATAGTACAATAACCATGGACTGTCTTGATGCTGTACAAATCTGGATATTCCAAGTGGAGGAGACTTATAATAAAGGGACAATAAAGGAAGAATATACTTCGAGATGCCTAAAGTCAAGAGAGGAGATATCTTTTTGAGATGCTCAGAGACAGAACAGTCTAAGTGGAACCGGATGGGGATTACAACTCCCAGCAGACAGCATGGGGCAGAGATTTTTATTTTTACTTTAAGCCATATGATTTTTTCCTCATGGGAGTACAGCTCCTGTTTTTCAGGTTGTGTGGGAAAGTAGACTTCTATATATAGAAGTGTGTTTTACAGACATTTTTCTAGGAATTTATCTGGTCAGTACATAGACTTTTGAGCAGCTGAAACTCAGACCCTTCAGATCCATGTCTTAGGGAGTCTCTCTGATAATGCTACCATAAGTAAATTTCTTAAGGTGGCATAAATATTGGCCTTAGTAGTCCATTACTTGAGTGAAATAATACGGAATGATAGTTGGTATCATAATGCCTTTCCTTCCTTTCAAAAAGCCTTTAGTGGTAGTAATTTTCCAGACTACTCTCATCCTCTCAGGGTTTCCTGTGTTCTGTTACCTG